TTCTCAGCGTGGGAATTGAGTCACTGAATACAAGTGTCAGAGTGTGTGTGTCACCCCCTGTGCCAAAGGGTTTAATGCCACCGTTTCCACTACCACCATTCCACAAGGCAGGGGGATGCCCCACACCTGAAGAGAGGGCATCTAACAAAGAGGCTCTTCAGGTTGTGCTGATATCGGCAAGGACGCTTGCCGACGCACCTGCGCCCAACTTTTGATCAAGCTGTTCCAATCTCTTGTTTGCTTCCATGGTGGTTCCACGATACTTCCCCCAAACCTTTTCCCACCGCAGACCTGCAGCCGCTCTGCCGCTGTGCGCTTTCCGCAGTCAAGTGCGAAAACCATTTTGTTAAAACACCTACACTTTCCTGGACTTTTCGCCATGCAGTTCTCTCACCTTTTTTTCACCTGGGAATTGAGTGTAACTGAAAACCAATGTCAGAGTGTGTTTCGCTCAGCCGTCCCACTCAGTTGCTGAGTGTGATCCCCGTCACTGGGGCGCTGAATTCATGCCGGAAATCGTGTAACTGACCTTTCCACCGTTCACAGGAACTCACCTTTTGATCAACCTTAACTGAATTTACTGCTTCCACGGCCGCCGGGCCAAAAAACGGTGAAGCACCACAGCCGCCGGGCTATAAAACGGTACTCCACTTGCAGTCATGCAGTCGGGCAGGTTTCCCATCCCCCCCCCCCCCCGCGTTCTTATCCCGACCTAGTTAGGGTAACATAGGGAAATGGTACTCGACACACTTGTGTGTCGGTGCCTTTCCCTTTGTTGTCCCTGTTCTAGTCTATCCTACCCGGGCGGTCTAAGACTAAAGTCCCGCTCCCTAACTATTGCATTTAATTCATTTCTGCTAAGTAATCAGTAACTCTAGAGTGCTAGGTATTCAGATACACACATGTACACACACATGAACATACACCCCCTCCCTGCCCCCCGCTTTCTTTCTTGCGCCTTTCGTCGTTTGTTGGGCTTTCTCTCAGGCTTTTTAGGTTGCTCTTGTGGCTCGTTTCCCTGCCCCAGTCAAGGGCTAAGTATTCACTTTTTCTACACCCACCTTTCTTTCTTGCCCTCTTAGCGCTGCTCTTTCTGTCTTTCTTTTCTTTTGTTTCTAAGGCTTTGTAGGTGATTATTGAGGTTTTTCACACGCGCGCCGCGAAGCGGCACCGTGTGTGTGTCACCCCCTGTGCTAAAGGGTTTAATGCCACCGTTTCCACTACCACCACTCCACAAGGCAGGGGGATGCCCCACACCTGAAGAGAGGGCATCTAACAAAGAGGCTCTTCAGGTTGTGCTGATATCGGCAAGGACGCTTGCCGACGTACCTGCGCCCAACTTTTGATCAAGCTGTTCCAATCTCTTGTTTCCTTCCATGGTGGTTCCACGATACTTCCCCCAAACCTTTTCCCACCGCAGACCTGCAGCCGCTCTGCCGCTGTGCGCTTTCCGCAGTCAAGTGCGAAAACCATTTTGTTAAAACACCTACACTTTCCTGGACTTTTCGCCATGCAGTTCTCTCACCTTTTTTCTCCTGGGAATTGAGTGTAACTGAAAACCAATGTCAGAGTGTGTGCGTGTGTGTGTGTGTTGCTTTTGCTTAAAGGATGATGTTATACCCAGGCCCTGCTGGGGGAGATGTGTTTGTTCCCCGGCTCCTTAAAGGCAACTCCAAGGGCGTGTTGCTGCTACTGCTGGGGGAAAGGGTTGCCTCTGTGGACTGATTTTGGTATCCCCCTTGAGTGCTCCTTTATGAAATGAATACGTTTTGCATTTATGAAATGACCAATCAGGGTGGTCATTTCAGAACACTGTATATAACTGTATTTTGGGATTTTCAGAAGATTCTCCAACGTTCAATCTATATAGAAAAAACTTAATAAGGTTAGTGAAAGCTAGCCCTTCAATTGCTGGTTTGGTAAAGACTGCTCGCGGAGACTGAGTTGAAGCCAAGGTTGATCCTGGACAGGTCATTGTACAGAGAATCAACTGGATTGAGGAATGCACTGGTGAGTTATTTTCATAAAAAAACAGTCGTGTAGCATACGGGTAAGATTTGGCTCTGAATCTGAGCGTTTGAGCAGGCCAAAAGTGGGTGCCAATCCTGAACACTTCATTCTATAAATTACTACATGTGTTTCTGGCCAGATCAATCTATATATACGTCAATTTGTGTAATCCCTTGGTCCTTTGGTTCTATCATTGCGCATACATGCAGTTATTTTATACAAGTGTTGGTTTTTCATGTTGTAGAAAGAAATGCTTAACAAATCAGTTTATAGCCGACACATATTTTTAAGAAACTATTTTGCCGCTGAAAAAGTTGCACGCAAGGGTGATATTTTGGTTATTTAGAGAAAATTGGACCGGAGTGTGTGAGTATGTGGGCGTATCCTGACATCTCTCTCGCCGGGAATCAGGTAGAACTCCATGTTCAAAAAGCAACTTGGCTGCAAAATGCTGCACAGATATGGCCCCAACTTGCAAGCGCCTATAATCTGTTTGTGCTTTTGGAGTGACCTTGCCCATTCTGAGGCATATAGCCAAAACCAATGTAGCATTGATCGATGCTCGGTTCTTGCTTCCTCGTTGGGGTTCGATGCTCGGCGCTCAGCTGGAGGTTCGACTGACGAGATCTCAGGGTTGGACGGTCAGGGTTGGACGGGCGCCGGGCACCCCTTATATGATCAAAGGCGGGAGATCCGGCGGTGGCCTCTTTTGGGTCGCAGCCCTTCTGTTCTTGCGAACCTGGGTTTCCTAAAATCTTTCATGGACTGGGTTTGCCTCATTCCACTTACAAGTGCTCAGAACATGGGTGGAACAGCATGTTGTGGTCCTGCGCCATTCAGTGCGCTATTCCTCTTAGTTGGCTTTTTCAACACTTCAAAGCTACTTTATATACTGTACTCCAAATATTGGAGTTGCAAGGAAACCAAGTTTGGTAAGGTGTGAAAAGTATTTTTGCTCTTTGGGTCCCTGATAAAGGGGGTGGAGAACAAACATGCATGTCAAAAGTAAGAGAATGGGCATTATCACATTAGTTTACGGAAGGTTTTGGAGAAGCGTTGTTGTTCCAAAATTCGTTGTAGACCAAGGGCTCTCCTGGCCATAGCTCTTGGTCCAAAATCTCCTCCCGACAAAATGATATTGCATCTTTGGATCTTTACCTATGGACAGAAGATGCCAACGTTTGTCTATGTTTGTTTGTACCGTCAGAAGATACCAACAACCTACCAAAACGTCGTACATGAAGAAGTTACGCAACGCGTCTTCAGAACCAGACGGTCTTCCCACTCCGCACCTCGCGTGCGTCCTACGATGTCACATGGACCTCACGGCACAGCACGGTCAGTCGGATTGCTTCCACCCAGACACCACTCATGGGACTGCCATAGGACTGATCAGGCCAAGGGTGGGTGCCAGGGGATCAATGGGGCGGCAGTCCTATGGCAGTCCCATGGGTCGTGCCTGGGTTTCCAACATGTTGCACATGCTACGCATGTTGTTGTGCGATCGAATATGTTTCACCCAGTGTTTTTCAGTGAGCCTTCAGCATGCAGCTGTTGGCCTATAAGAAAATCTAAGAACTCGCACATTGCATCCTGGCCTTCGGGAATGCATGTGTTTCTTTAAACCATAGTATGGATTAGTATGGCTTAGTACCGGCTCATTACGGGCTACATATTATGTTCTCAGGAGTGTTCTCAGGACACAATGTTTTTGAAGGAACATCGAAATTGGGGGTTGCGTACGGGTGACATGCTTTGCAGGGGAAATCATTACGATGTCCGATGTGTTCGGTCAAGTGACCCTCCTAGTTCCCCCAAAGCTCATTTCAATGACCAAAACAGATCCCAAACACTCCGTGGGACTGCCATATATGCGTATATACATTGACCATCCAAACCACCCCAACTGATCGACAGTCCTATGGCAGTCCCATGGAGTGTGTGGGAATGGAAGAATGGTTGATATTTGGTGACTTGTGGACTCATGAAGGCCCCACGGCTCGCACCTGAAAGCAAGATACTCGTAGGTGTTTCATGGTGGTGGCCTGGTTCTGTTCTTTCCAGAAAAGATGATGCTTTCCTTCTTTGCCCCTTGAACTTCTTGAAAAAGCGATGTTTCATCCAGGTGCCTGCAAACTATTTTTCTACGTATTTGCCAACTGGGGCTTGTTTAAGTTGCGGAATTATACACTCATGCCTCCTGGTACCAGCGTCAACACATGAATCAATCTCGTCTCATGTCACCGTTTGAAAGCTGTTTTCCACCCCGCAGAATCAGAATGTGAGGCAATTTTCTGCAACATGTGTCCAGCGAGCTGCCCATGTCGGGGGTTCCATTCCGTCCGTATATGGATCTCCGTGCGACCCCCGCTCCTTCGCCTAATCGTGTGTTCGCACGTAAGGCTCTATGCGGTGGACGCATGTGGTGGCCGCTTGACGAATTACATCGTTGAAACGAGCACCTGTTTTTGTATTTTCAGCAGTCAGAGGACTCCAGATCGAGAAACCCAGTTCGACTATGTGGCACCAACGTAGTTCCTTCGCTCGGTGACCTTAAGCTTGAAGACCCTTCTGGCGCTTTTTCAAGTAGTCTTGCATTCGCTTGGACTTCAACTTTTTCGGGGTTCCAGCAAAACTGAGGGAGAATGGCCGTCGTTGGCCTGAGGTCCTAGTCCTCAGAATCTGCCAAATCTTGCTGCGGGCTTGCTGCTTGCTCAACTGGCTTACATGTGAACTCCCACTGGCGAGCCTCTTTCTTTTCCAGACACCCTGTTCTTCCGGGCCCGGAACATGGCTCGATCGGTGTCCAGTTAGGCTCCATGGGCGATCGATGTGTGTTCTTGAGTGTCAGAAGGCGATGCCAGGGAGTTGTTCAGGCCTTTTGATGTGTTCTGCCGTGCTTTTGTACACTGCCAAGTAGCAGGTTGGGGGTGAGTTTTCCTCTTCCAATTGCTCACAAGTCAGAGGAAAACGTGATAAAGCATGCATATATTCCAGGCAGTCCATGTATGCCATATATGATCATATATGCCTACATTGACCCCCAAACCCACCCCAACTGATCGGCAGTCCTATGGCAGTCCCAGACGGGTCGTGTCTGGGTATGAGAGCCCTCCACCGCCCGAATCACTCCACCGCTTTCTGACACGGCACCGAGGAGGCATCGGCTCGCGTGACACTTGGGGTGAGGGTCGGGCGACAGCAGCGGCCGCGGTCGACTGCTTCCCCGATGGCCCTCCAGCCACTCAGATCGAACACGGTCGCGGCGCTCGGCGAGCGAAGGCTCCGGTCGGTCCTAGGGCGATTGGAGTTGGGGGGACGATGCGATTTGGAAGCTGAGAGCATGTGGACTGATCTCTCTTCATTGCTGGATCTTACTGTTTTCCAGAAGTGCTGGTGATCTCATGAAACTTTGGACATGTGACCCTCATTACTGTAGCCCTATGGCCCCACAGGGTTCACAGTTCAAGGGAGATGCCGCCCTTGCCTCCCTAGCTTGCATAGCACTTGGAGTCCCAGGTATATAAATATTGGAAACGTCGCTTCCCAATCTCCTTGGAAACATGTTCAGTCTGCATGGCAGGGCACCACATGGCATGCACCCGAGACCCAAGTCCTCCCAAAGATGTGGGCCTCTCTTCGTAGGGGTCCCTTTTCTGCCATGCACCTCATATTCCGTGTGGCTCTTCAGGGGCCATCATTTGTTTTTTCATGTTTTTTCTCGTGGGGGATGCGGGACCGGGGGTTTCAAGCACTTCGAAGCAATTTGTGAATTTGCAGTTGAAGAAACAGATGATTTGGCCCGAGAACTGCGATTGACCGAACTGAGGATGCTCTGGGGCATGCGGACAAATGCTTCATATGACAGTGCCTGCTCAAAGCAAGCCACCAAAGCCAGGTGAAGAATGAAACCTCATCACTCCAAAACTCTGCTCAAACAAGATCTGGAGGTGCGGAGATTCGCTTCCTTAAAGAATGGGTACATTGCTTCCTCACAGACATGGACATTGGTCTCATGTTGGGACTCTCAGCATGGACCATGATCTCTTCTACCTTTCTGAACGTGCCAGCGCCGAAAGCTTTAGAAGATGATGTCCCGATGTCCCCCAAAAAGAACATCAGCACCGGGTTGCTGAGTCGCACTTTGGGACAGAACTGATTTGCAAAACAGCCATGCTCCAGAAGGAGCTACCTAACAAAACCGAAAACAAGGTGGAACCCAAGAGACATTTGTACACTTGCAACATCTACACACATGTCTAAACTCCTGAAGGACCTACTTTGGCTTGTTTGGCATTTTGCCACCACAGAAAATTGCACCCTCAGAGGCACCAAGGGGACTGGGAACCTTTCTAAAACCTCATAGGGAGCAAGCTAGCAAAACCTCTCCCCCAAAAAATTAAACATAATAACAAAAACATCCAAAACCAACATTGCAGCCTTCGAGCAGATCAACTATGATGAAGCCAACCACGGCCCGACCCAAAATCAGTTCGGCCGTTTCTTTGGGCGGCGGACGCTTGAGCTGGCGAAAGCGGCTGCCGGAATGGCGGCCGGGTGATGGTGGCCATGACCTTCCAACCTGGACCAACCGGCGGCGCCAGTGGCAGGTTTCAACCACCCACCTCGTGGTCGACCACCGTACGTGGCGGGTAAACCCACGCCCAGGTTTGCAGGTTCTCCACACACCTTAAGACCACACCTTTTGGACTGAATATGAGCTGGATAGGTGCGTTTTCCATTGATGAAGACATTCGAAAGTCCTGACATTCGAAGGTCCTGGCCGCTCTTTGCCCAGGGATGTTGCTGGGCGCCATTTGAATGGGATGTGAACTTGGAATGAGTTGAACCCCACCAACGCAGCCATGGAAGAAGTGAAAGCCATAACCTGACAGTAGGACACCCCTGCGCCTGGAACGCAATGGCAGGTTGGCGAATCAAGAGAACGATGCCTTCTGCTGATGCGAATGATGCACTTATTGTTTCATTGTGTGCGGCTTTTGTTAGCATTGTTTCTGCACTCTGGAAGATCAACATGGAACCCGAAAACCACTGGGTTGTAGAGGAAAATAGTCTTCCAAAGGTCCATTTCCAGGTTCCATGTTAATCTTCCCAGGTGTAGGTGTTCTTTGGGGGTGCAGGAAATTGGCTCAGCCAGTCCAGCTCGGCAGATCCCCAAGCACTGCAAACCATGGAGGAATAAATCATTGCTGATGCCACCCGGAGGCGGTTCAGCTGCTCCCAAAGTACGTATATTGTTTATTGGCTTCAGGATGTTTTAGGAATTTTCTTCGATCTCTTCTGTCTCCGTGTTCGTTTCAGTTGTTCCAATTGGTCGGCTATTGGTCAGGGGATCATGGCTCGAATTCCCAAATTCAAGACCAAAACGACCCCGCCAAAATTGGTTCCATTTCAGAAGGAAGATGGGATAATGAGATGGGTTATACAAAAAGACTCAAAAAGTCAGTCTCTTTTCAAGTCTTTTCCATATCAGCAGGCTTGGCTGTGAGTGCTTCAAGAAAAGACAGAAGAAAGGTAACCTCATCCAGGGGTTCCCAGCGTAGCTTTTAGATCCTCATTATTATATATACCCGTACACGGAAACTTCCCCTTGGCTTGCGTACAACATCGAATTTGCATGGGCAGCTGAAATGTCTTTTGCAGAGCCAGTTGCACTGAAATTCCTCTTCACAAATCAGTATTCGCTCCAATTGCATCCAATTGCGACTTTTTCGACTCCCAACACTCGACCCGGCCAGCACTTGATTGCGTCCATCCTTCCGAATCGCGCGGCCTCCCGGTTTCCCCGCGGCCGAGCTCGGATCCCTCGCGACCGGCGACTGGATCCAGGTGGTTTTTGGACACCCCTTCAGAGGCTATTTATAGACACCTCTTTATCATCGACGAACTTTTTGGTTGAGTTGCCCGACTTCTTTCCTGCCCATGCAAAACTTGCGAGTTTGCATAATATGAAATTTTCACACTGCGCGGCAGTTTCCCGATTGAAGACATTGATTTGCGAGAATGAGGCGAGACAGAAAATGCTGGTTGCAGGTGTGGGCCATCCGGCAATCCAGAACACTTCAGCTCGAAGAGTTTGGGGCAGTGTTTGGGGTCACCTGGGAGAAAGATCATTAGGTTGGTCAAATATGCGGGGCACATCAGGGCACCCTCTACACCGATGAAGATCCATTTCTTCGGATCGTTTTGATTGGGAGCTCAGAACTGGCTGAGCTCCTGGCCATGTTGGGATATTTTGTGATATGTAGCATTTGGGGGCACCCCGCCCCCAAGCTCTTTCCACTCTGTTCGCTTTGGCAGCCACTCCAGCTCTCGCCGTCCCTGCTGAACTCGAGAGATTTGACCTTCAGGTTGCGAGACCCGAAGTTCCAAAATCAGGTTTTGGAATAGTTTGGAATACGTCCACAGCTCCTAAATTTTGACTTGGTCCCGATCCGTTTCCCGCCGCTTCCGCTCCTGTGCGGCCCGGTGTGGCCCTCGTCTCTAGCCATGCCACAGTTGCCACAGACGACATCGGAGGGCAGCGAAACGCGCCCGCCACGGATGCCCCAGCGCGCACCCAGCGAAGGCTGGACGGGTTCGGAAAGGGTTCCTTCGACCGGAGCTGCTGGTGAACGGTGTTGATGAAAAAGACGTGTGGAGCTGTGTTCTTGTTTTTCAATTGATTGGCAATGTCCACCTCTAAACAATAACCCCCCCCCCAATTTTTCCCCCCCCCCCCCCCCGATCAAGTGCAGGCCCCAAATAGTGTGAAATCCAGAAAAATCCTAGAAAATATTGATTTGAATTGGAAATGAAAGGAAAGGAAAGGAGTTGTTGTTCTGTGTGTGTGGTGTGTGTATGCCTGGAGCTCAGAATCAAGATTTGGAAGCAGCTGAAAGCTCAGAATCAGGTTTGGAAGCAGCTGAGAGTATATAAAATAATATTAAGTTTTGGAGTCAGCCCCAAAAACAAGATCCCAAAAAGTTTAGCATTATTTAGGGGACATTTATTACTTTTTTTGAAAAAAACATTAGCATTATTCACGGGGCATTTAGTGTTATGAGGTCAACATTACCTCAGATTGGTCGAAACGACCTCTATGACGACCCCTTTTCCAAGTGACATGATGCTCAAGAGACCCCCCTTCGCTCCAAGCGTAGGCACTTGGTTGGCCGTCCACGCTTGACTCTTGAAACCTTTGACATGTTGTAGCATGGTGCAGGTTGGGTGGTGCCGCCAGCTGTCAAGGACTCCGCCCGGGGACGGAGGCGCCGAGTCAGAGGAGGGGTAGACAGTAGACTAACTAGACCTCCCAGACTCAGCAACACTCCAAGCCTTTTCGTCTCCAAACATCATGGGGTCATATATACATACAATTGAAGGAGAGGAAAAACACATATTTCTGGATCCTGGATACTTGCAAGCAGTGGAGGCAAGAACGTTTTCATGCTTATGGGCAGATCATTCATTTGGTTACAATTTTAGCTACAGTCAACCTGCCCCCTAGCTTGGTTGAGCAGTCATTGGGAGGGATATGGGGTGCCCATGGAGGGTTCCATGATAGAGCACTCCAGGATTTGAAGCCTCCCACTCCCGTGCCATGGCCGCTTTTGAGTGCCTGGAACCCATCGGGGTCCCCCAACAGAGGTCCCCAACACAGCTGGTGGGCTCCCAATTGGACATCGGACAGGCTTTTTGGACCACAATCTCCGCTCCAAGACAGTTCAGGTCTGTCCATGGCATCGAAGTGCCTTCCCCCATTGGTTGAAGGAAGAAGAGTGACGGCTCCGGCCGGGAGGTGAGGCACAGCATTTGCCATGTTTTTGGTGTTTCCAGGTGGTATTTTGGTGCTTGTCTTCCTCCATCTTCCTCCTAATATGAAAGAGGATGGACCATCCCTGCTTCGTCTTCTACCTCGTCCAGTGGGAAAGGAGTCCCAGTTTCGAGAAGCATCCTTCGGCCGGGACGGTGCCAAAGCATCACGAGTTCTGGGCCCCGCAAACATCGCCGTGGCCGCCCCAGGGAAACCTGATCAAATGGACACGTCGTTGATGTTGGTTCTTTGTCATGTTTGGAACTGATCTCATATATATATATATATGCATCATAGTATGTATCATGCCCGCATGTGTTTTTTGCATGCGAGAGTTCAGGTTTCAAGCCGCTTTTGGACGGCATGAACCCGCATTGCTCCTCAGATGCCTTCGCATGGCTTGAACCCGCATGATGGACCCTCCCACCGCAACGGCTGCACCGTCTCCACCATTCGCAGGATGCGAACGTCTCCTCCGACAGCTCATCAGAGGACGAGACGAACCGCGTGAAGCCCGAATCCAGCCTTCCCAATGCTCCACTTCATCCGGACATTATACGTTTCAGCCAAGCGCATCAGCGCCCCTCGGCGAGTCTCGATGGATTTCGAGCACCGGTGTCCCACCGACTGGTCTTCCTTCGTCGCTCCGAAAGAAGACGGTTTAAGCGACCAGAGCCGCTCAAGATGGTTTGCCCAAAAAAGCGGAAATAGGATAATCTACAGTAAGCCATTTAGAATTCTATAGAATTCTCTTTCTTGTCACGCTGCAAAACTCCACCGTCAACAGAACAACTGAAAAATGGTTGCAGGTGTTACTTGCGACTCATTTTTTATAGTTGCATTATGAGAGAACTGCAGCTTCATGGGCCAAACAGCATTTGGTTTGTTGGTTTGGTTCATTTCCCCCATGCCTTTCGAAAACCCCAAGAGTATCCAAAAGTGCTGCACTACGGACACTTCCCGCACTTGCCTCAAAAATGGTGCTTTTCTCAAAGCAATATTAAGGGCATACTGGCATACCAAGAAAAATGCATACATTATATATATATATATTTCAACAAAGTCCTGCCCCTCCCAAGCGAAAT